GCCTGGGAACTCAGAGCAGAATGAAGCCCATTAGATGGCTCGTGTGATCTGCTGTTGCCAGTGTTAAATATGTAAATTGGGAGTGAAGCTGGGAGCAAAGGCTTCACTCAGGTCCGATTCAGCAGAGACATTAACATACCCACTCCTCATTGGTCTATTCAAGCGGCGGGAAATTAAAGCGATGTTAATGGCCGGGCTGCTTGACAGGTCCCTTTAAAAGAGGGCACTTGCGGTCAGCAGGCTAAGAAGTTTTTCCAAGCCTCCGAATAAAGAGCTGAAATCACTAGTTGGAGTCCTGCCTCTTCCTTCGATCCTCATTCAACAGCCGGGACGGGGGTGGGTGGGAGGTGGTGGGTAATTTTATTATATTGTATTATATTAATTTATTTGATTCTTTTTGTTAGTTTTTATTGTTTTAATGTGGTTTTATATTCTGTAAGCCACCTTGAGTCACCATGGGCGAATAGGCAGCAATATAAATTCAATAAATAAATAAATAAATAATAAAAGATGAGCTATTGTCTAGGGCAGAGTGGATTCAATTAGTTGATAAGGGCTGAGATCATGATAATATAGTCAGTTTAAGGAGTTTTTGTTTTGAAAACCTAACCAAAAAACCCCAATAAATGCTTTCTTAAAAGTTCGGCTTATTCTTGTTTCTGAGAGAGCAAAACTGGCTTATAGAGTAGTGCTGACAAGTGAAAAGAATGTAATATAAATATATTCAGTCAGTAAAATACATCACTCTTTGAAGGCGTCACAGATCAACAAATACCTCAAGAGTTGTCAGGTATTCTTATTTAGTTGATCAGAAGAGGTCACATTTTTTTCTTAATATATTGATGAGCACAGCATTTGTTAATGTCATGGCCTCCATAGATCTCAAATTGAAGTTTCATTGGTCTCAGGTAAGACCAGTTCATACATAAAGCCATAATGGTTAAGATATTATGGAGGTTATTATATAACCCATAATGTTATGTTACAGGAGCTGAAGCCCAAATACCCAGCGTTGGACTGTAGACATGGATGAGGGAAGGGTTCCTTCAGAGCCCATTCATCTGACACAAGAGGCCCTGTTTGGGATGAATGGCAACTTAGAGAAAAAGATCATTATTCCTACATTTTGTTCCATGCTCTGGAACATGGAACATCTTGCACAGCTAATATTTTATACAGCTAATATCAGATAATAAATTCCTTTAAAAACTGAGATTCCCCAACACACTGTCAAGTTTTATAGAGTGCGAATATTTGCAGCTTTTTTCTCCAGCAAGGACAGACTGTATTTCTGTTTTTACAGGCTCACAAGGGAAACTGCATAGAAAATTAAGAAGCATCACTGATTCAGTTAATTCTCAGGAACAAGGGGAAGCCCCATTCAGTCAGCAACAGCTGAGTGGAAGAGTGAGAGAAATTACAATTTTTTTTAAAAAAGAAAAGTTAGTCAACCTAAAATATGAACAGCCTTCAAAACAGATGGTAAGGAAAAGGCAGCAACAGTAGTGACAATCCCTGCTTAGCAAATAAAAACATTTTTTTCAGCTTTCCTTCTACCCTCCAGAAATATCCTTGAATAAACAGATTTGGAGGATGGCCAAATGTTCCTTAGTTCAAAAGTGCGTACTTTCAAAAACAGTCACAGCCTGGGAGATGGGCAGGATAGTAGGCCATGTTTTTAATCATTTTCAATTCCACAAAATCAGATTGCAAAAGCAGAATATCCATTCAGAGAGCTTATTGAAATTGATACACTGATGAAAACTCTCTTCAACTATACAAAATGTTCTTTCTGTCTCCAAAATGGGCTTCTACTTCATTCTTAGGATGCTTTATAAGTTATCTTAACAGTAGTACTTTTTCCTGATGGCTGTGGTAGTCTTTCTTCTGCACCTCTTTTATTCTGCAATTTTTTTCAACTGCCGTGTTTCATGATATGGGAAAACTTCCAGAGAGAATTCTTCCACTATTTTTTTCCTTTCAGTTTTCTAAGTTTTGGGAAACAGAGAGATAGTAGACTACAGAAGACAGGTGAGTCATTCATAAATAACCTTTGCATCTATTCTATTTAGAGTAATAAAAATCTCATACTATTTTTTTCTCCAGTAGTTCAAGATGGGATTCATAGTACTCCCTCATCCAGTTTTGCTTACAACCACTTCTGAGGTAGGTTGAGTTAATATGCAATCATTACTCCTGTAGGAAGTTAGCACCCACTCCTCTCCTAGAAGAATGAAATATTTTAGGAAATATTAAAAAGGCAGAATATATTTCCTTGGATGAGAAATGGAGAAACATGTTTTAAAGACAAAACAGCTCCCATCTTTCTGCCCCCCCCCTTTGTCAATGGGCCAGAGGCAGAAACCCAATTCCCTCCGCCCCCCCTTTGTCAATGGACCATCATTTGCAACACAGTAGGACCCATATAGCAACAGAAACTCACCACATGGCACCTGGGAAGATTACATCAACTAGCAAGGCTATCTAAGACCCCCACCCCCTGGGAATCTGACAACCAATCAGGATACTCTTCCTCTGCCCCAGGAAGTTCAAAGCCCAGATAGGGCATAAAACCTGGGGACTCGCAGCATCTCACCTCTTTTTCTGTTCAGGAACTCAAACCATGTGATTCTGTCCACTATTAAACCATCTTTTCAAGCAGTCTCTATGTTTCCAGTGTCTTTTTCCTCACTTGGAACTGAACCCAGAAGGATATTTCTTCCAACGCTCCAAAGTCATTCTATGAAGTAACTTTCCATAGCAGAAAAATTGCTTGTTTTCTTGCAGACATTTCATTACCATAACTAGGTAACATCATCATGTTGGAAGAAATGTCCATCTGGGTTCAGTTCCAAGTGGGAAGAAAGACACTGGAACATGAAGGCTGATTGGAAAGATGGTTTAATGGTGGACAGGACCACATGGTTTGAGGTCCTGGGCAATCAAGCACATGGGTGAGAGAGAGAGATTTATACCCTCTCTTGGGCTTTGAACTTGCTTCTTGTTCTTGTGAAAGAAATGTATTCTGATTGGTTGTCAGACTCCCATGGGGCCATGCAGGGGTAACTTTATAGATTGTCTTGAGACCCAGGCTTGGTTGAATCTTGCTGGGTGATGCAATGATGCAATGCAATTTACATTAAGGGGGCTTTGGGCAATTCCTATTATGGTTTAATGGCTTTGTCCTGGTTTGGATCTTGAATGAGGGCTAATCCTATTACCCTGGAGCTGAAGGTCTTTTGTCTTGTAGATAAACTGGCACCAAAATATCTGCTGGGGCTGTTTCTGTGTCCCTTAAGATTTCTATTTCTCTTTTAGGGGAAATATTCTGCCTTTTTAATATTTCCTAGAATATTTCATTCTTCTAGGAGAGGGGTGGGTGCTAACTTTCTACAATCAGTGCTAGTAAGGAGTGCTTTTGCTGTCAGTTCATATTCTGGTGTCTTGCCTGTCTGTGTGGGTGTGGGTGGTTTTAGGGATTCTTTGGTTGGATGGTTTACTAATGGCTCTTTGGCAGTTTCTAATTTCTTAGTTGATTGTTGGTCTGAAGTTGACCTTGAAGGTATCTGTGCTGATTACTGGTAGAGAGGTGCTGGAGTCTTTTTCTCTTTGGGGGTGGTTGATCGTCTCTTTTTCAGTCTATAGATGTTAATGTCTATGTGTCTACTGAAACTGCCAAAAAGCCATTAGTAAGCAGGCCAACCAAATAATCCCTAAAACCACCCACACAGACAGGCAAGACACCAGAATATAAATTGACAGCAAACAGCACTCCTTACTAAGACTGATGAAGTTACTTAGTTAGGGTAATAAAATGTTTGCAAAACAACAACAACAAGCAAGCAAGCAAGCACAGAGGACCAAGGACCCCTCATTTCAACCCTGAGCTACAAATATTCTTCTTTATTGGTATTATTTGGTCATTTCTGTCAGTCAAGTTTAAATGGTTTCATCAGAGATCTTCATTTTTGTTTACAAATTGAACTTCAGCTTTAAACTGAAGACTTAGAAACACAGTCTTAATATGGATATATGCTACAGATTTAAGTAACTCTGCATGTCTTTCATGAAGTGGAAAAATACACATGCTAAACTACCTTTAAAATGAAAAATAGCTTCATGTGTTTTCTTTAAGGAGAGCTGTTTTCCTACTAAATATCAAAATGAGCTTCAAATCTAAAGAATTTATTACATGTAAGATTAATAATATAATTTCATTCAAGTGCTTTGTACAAAAATTTATACATCTGAAAACATATTTATAGAATATGAACATCTAATGTGCAGTCAGTATGCCTGTATTATATGAATGCTAATCAAATGGATGTAATTTTAATTAAAAGGCTCCTAATTAAAGACTAGCATCTGCTGAATCAAGCGAATTTAAACACAGCCTCTCTAATCTGGTATGCTCCAGATGTGTTGCTTTTTAATTCCCATGTTCCAGTTAGGATGTCACACTGACTAGAGAGATCAGGACATAAGCACATAGGAAGGGCAGGGATTAAGGAAATGTGCTTTAAACTACCTGACCTTTTAGGTAGTCAGAACTGTATTCTACACTTAACTCAAGCATATGCCTACTCATTTAGTCATCAGGAAATTTCATTCATTGTGCAACAATATTGGAACCCTTTTATTCAGTGCATGGTATTCCAGCCACCATACTAAGCGGGGCTTACTCTCTTATAAACATGCTCAAGAGCGGCGCCAGCTGCTGCCAGCACTCTTGCAGCTTTTGTAAACAAAGGAGATCCACAGCCCGTGTCCAAACAACCCACATATTCGTGTTTTCTTCTTGCTCCGAAATAACTCGGGAGGGGGAGAAGTCTTATACTCCTTTCCAATCCTTCGAAAATTTCTCCCGGGAAGTAACGCAGGTTCTGCCCATCCCTATCGATTTCCTTGCTCCGTCGCCTCCACGTGTTCAGCTCCACCTCTTTTAGCTTGATGGCACGGCATGTATTGGGCCCTTGATAAAGGAAAGTGGCCAGCAGCAACGAGGAAATCTATGCGCTTCGGTCTCTTCGAGAACCGAGTATTTCTAGCTCAATTAATCGCTAGGATCGTCTGCGCTTGGGCCGCTCTTCCAATCCAAAAGCTTCTGCTCAGGCGCCACGAGCCAATCCACCGTCAAGAGGTGGGCGGAGGCGGTAGAGCAAATGCCCAGGGTGGGTCGAGTGCACGGCCAGAGCGCTGGTCTGGTGCCGCCGCCTCTGTCTCTCTAGTTGCCTCAGACCTCAAACTTCAAACGTGGACCGAGCCTGTGCAAAGGAACATGTATGGCGGCTGGGAAAAGCGAGCGACGTGGTAAAGTCCAAGGCTCAATCCAGATTCGGATCTTTTCTTGGACTTGCCATGAATCATTGGTTCCTGCACCATCGTAAACCGAGGTAAGCTTTCCAGAAAGGATGGTCGCTTTGCAAGACTCAATCATTCATAGGGAGCTTCTTCTCAGCCCGGAGATTCTACATGAAGCTATGTAGTAAATGGAATGGGAAGAGAGCACGGATGTTCACGATTTCTTTCGCGCTTAACAAACAAAACTCTGTCCTTTGCGCGCGATCCTTTAGCAGCGAGTCGTGTCCTTATGATTTCATAATTAATCATCCAACCCGATAAGCCCTTTACTACAGGGCCTTCTAATAATGTGGCGCTGCTTATTTTTGAAACCTGTATTTGCCGTCTAAAAAGGAGGGCTCATGCAGTGGCGGAGAATAATCAAATTTTATTCCAAGAGTGGGAGAGGTTGCCCAAGCCTGGCACGGAAGCATCAATCATTTAAGCAAACTTGCTGAGCAGGGGGTTTAGCATTCTTTTGAGAATGGTGCTCCAGAATACCTCTCAGACATCCAGGGTAGCAATGAACAGAATCTTGAGGAACCACAACTCCACAGTATCACTTTTGTTCTAGAAACTTTGGAGTTCAGGTGTGCTTGGTGGTAGTGATGCCCTATTGGAATGTCCATCTTTCCCAAATCTATTTTAATTTAATGATAAAGTCCTAAGAAAGGATGTTTTGGAAATATGCACGGCATCAGAGACTGAGTCAAGGATGGTCACTGATAAGGTAATCATAGTTTGTCCTATGATGGAATGAATTTGTATTTAGGTTACAGCCATTCTTTGTATATTTTCATCTATAAATACTAGCCAACCTATATAAATATTATGAATATAAACATCCACTCTGCTTTTTGGATGGTGTTTTTCTGACACTAATTGCTAAGCATGAACCAGAATGAGAAAAAGGAGTGGTGAAATGTAATACTGAAAATATGTTGATGAAGTGTAAGGTAAGGAATTTGAGGTATCACAATCAAGATGAACCAATAAATCAAAGAACATAATGAACCCAGTAAGAAAAAAAATGGATGAAGAATTTACTGTACGTATTTAATTGAACTGCTGGAGATAACTACAATTATGTATAGATTGTAGGCCTACACATAATTCTGTAAGAGTAAGTTGTATAATTTACCGGGGGTCTATGTTGACATTCATACAATTTTACAATCAATGCACACTGAAGTGAAAAAGGTTGGAGAGAGAGAGAAATGCTCGGTAAACACATGAAAAAAATCAGTCTGAAATTGTCTGGATCAGGTAGAATGGTAGGGACAGTAATTGCAATGACTGGGAAAATCAGATTGTCAAAATTACATGGTGAGATGACTTCATAGTAGAAGGAGAAGACACGAAATGAATCAAAAACCTATGTCACAGCAGACTACACAAATGTAAAAAAAAAGGTAAATCTAACTAAAATTAATAATGTAAGTTGTTAGAATTGTTTCTTGTTTATATTTTCAGAAAATCCAGTGTATGTCCACCTAATACAAATATAAGGTAGATGGCATTTTTTGCAACTGATACAACCTTAACAGTCACTTATGACTGATAGCAAAACTATTAGGAAGCATACTATAGTATATATAAATGTCTGCAGTTTCCTGTGTATATTAAATAGACATCTGAAGAGTCTATATTTTATTTTTAATTTTGGTAGAGAATATGTTGAGCCAATTAAAATGCTGATGTGTTTGCTTTAGTAAATTTGATTAATTGAATCTGCTGGGTACATCAGTAAATTAACAATGCAGTTTTCAATGAACTTCTGAATATGAAAGTAATTGTAATAGATTTACTTTTAATGAAATATGCTCAATTGCAGCCTAGATTTTTGGTAGACATAAAATGCTTCCTATGCTGAGTAAGACTAGCATTCATCAGCAAATTCCTAACTATACAGATTAACCGCCTGCCCTTTACGTAAATATTAACACAAAAAAACAATAGTACATTTTCATTCATTTTCATCCAAGGCTAGTAGATATTTTGCATTTTTGGAATGAATGAAGCAATTGTGCTTCTTTTTCTACTAATAAGAATTGCAAACCATTGAATTTGACAGTACTAGCTGAAATAAACATTATTTTGTTTTTTCTGGATCTTTCATTAGACTGAAAAATGCTTTAAAAAGGATTAAAAACAATTGTAAGTTATCAGATACCTCAGGGAAAGTGCAAGGAAATTCTCTCAAAAATTGCATAAAACCCATACATTTAAATGCAATGTATACATTGATTAAGAATAATTATGACCAGTTTGGTTAACTTAAATTAAAAAGGTGCAAAGACTTCTGGCCTAGAGGAAAGAAATAATTTAGATCTCATACTTTAGTATCTATCTTTTATGGTGGCTCAGCAATCAGATTCATGGGATTTTTGTCTTCTAGATGTTTACCCTAAATTCAAATCTGTGTCATTGATAAATAATTTTGAATGCCAGAAATGTATTAGTTTCTCTTTTTTGTCTTTTTTTCTTCTAACAATCTAACAATTTTTTCTTGTTAGATAATAAAAAATAAAATAAAATCAATATTATCAATGGTTCTAGTTTTTACCAGCCTTTTCTGGAATGATTGACAGTTAAGAAAGCAGAAATACTTATTTTCCATATCATTCTTGTAGCTTGTCATTTTTAAATCCACATTCAAATGAGTGTCTTGTCTGGTAAATCCCTTTCCTTTTCCATAAAATCTTTTAACCACAATCTAGATTCATTTTTCACAAATATCCTTTAATATTTTTGATGTTAAAGTATTTTGCTTTATTCTCTGTTAGAAAATCAAGTGTAAATATTATCCTTTAATTGTAATCTTATTTCCTTCTGATTTCCTCTAGTGTGTAACCTTCAAATCCTTCATGGGTTTTTTTTAGGAATTCAAAACATTTTCCAATAGGAAGGATTCTTATAATTAACTTTAAAATCTTATTTCAAGTCATCTAGACAGTAAGTTCATTTGAAACTTTCCAAAACCAATGTTTTAACCACTCCTTTCTTGTTTATTCCAAATAAAAGATTTTGAAAATAAATCCTTAAATTTGCATTTAAAACTTCTTTCACTAGGAATTGAAGGAAACACACCTGCTGCTCTAAAACTTACATAACAAAGGTTTCTAATAATTAAAAAGCAATTTCCAAAAGTGATTAAGAAATGAGGTTTGGCAGAATGCTATGTCCACATAATAAACTACATTGCAGCTATGAGCTTAATTGGAGCCCCTCAACTCCAAGTCAAGGGCTCATAAGCCAACTGCAAAAACTTCAGTTCCTACAGTTTACTTAGTGAACTTTCCAGAGTTCACAAGGATGCTCTCAAGATCTCTCTTTTATCCGGATTGATTTTTAATGGCAATCTGTCAATGACAACAAAATAAGAGGGGAGAAAAAGCATGGGTTGTTTCATATAATCAGGCTTTTTGTTTCTCAACTCTACTAATTCCAGTGTAAAATGTATCCAATATTGTCTTCTCATGAGTGTCTTCTTTGAAAGCCATTCTACATATGGTAGCCCACATTTAATCTCTTAATTTATACTCAATTTAATCACATTTAAATTGAGTATAAATAATTAGCAATAGATCAGGTACCTATTCCAGGCAATTCCAGATTTTTTGTCATAATATATCCATTTCAGAAAAAACAATTGCCTTGAAATGGAAGTTCCCTTTTACAAGTTACAAGTCAGTTACATCAGGTCATGTACATTACAGAGGTCATGCCATTTGGCCATGAGAGCGCACATCTCACTTTAAAATGGATTACAACTTTGTATGTTTTCCCTAGCACCTTAGAAAACAATATTTGGAGGTCTGGCTTTCAACACAGAGTTTTGAATTCCTGATAGATGTTTGCCATCCTGAAGCAAAGGACTGTAATATTGTAAACATAATTTTTGATCAGCCCTTTATATTTAGAATTATATCTGTATGTCTCTAATTTTACATATAAAGTACTGCATATGCTAAATGCTGGCTTTTTATAAGCATCCTGTTTTTTACATTCTGTACTGCTAAAAACATGTTTCCATATCTGAATATAAATTAATTGTGTTCTTTGTGTGCACTTAAGCATTCTTGGTATTGCGCAATTGTTTACTCCTAAATGGAATTCTTTTTCATCCTTGCCTGTATGCTTAGTATAAAAGCAAAAGAGAGAGAGAGAGAGAGAGAGAGAGAGAGAGATTTGCTCTTGTGCCACATTTTGGAAAGTCTAAAAGGGCTTTAGTGCAGAAATCGAGGAAGACACTCCATGAAATCGATACCATAGTGATCAATATCAAAAGAAAAAATAAACTAAATTTATCTAGTTTGTAGATAATCCAATGGATTATCCAATAGATAACTCTTCCTTTCCATGGCATTGGAGTGAATTTAAGGAGAGAGTCTTTTTCAGGCTAAGATCAACTGTTAGCAACCTCATGGATATATTCCTATTTTTCTTAGCAACAGTATAGATGAGGTTTATTATTTTCTTAAAACTTCAAAATCTACCTTGGTTTTCTTCCAAGTAAATACTAATCAGACTTGAACCTCTTTGATTTTGAGATCAGCCATGATCAGGGGAGATTGACACCTAGTGGGGTATTGTTATGACACAGACTGAAAGATAAGAAATTCTGAAACCATTGTAGATTGAGTTTTGTGGTTTCAGTTTAGATGCATCTTAATCAGGCAGTATAACTCAAAAACAGAATTGCAGAATACACTTATTTATTTGACTTAAAGAGCAACTTGTGAAGGCTATACTTTGTCAGGGCACAAATTCCCAATTAACCATGTTTGCTGAAAACAATTATATTTTCCTGTCATTTTTGAATTAGAGGTGAAAGATGGTAATGTAAATTCTAACATATCACTGTTAAAAAATAACAAGTTCTTTCAAAATCAGTCTCATCTGGTGATAAGGACCACTTCAAACTACCAGAAAATTAGATCAGCTGTTTTCATATCTGTTCTTATTTTAAAGGAACACCCAGATTCCAAATGAGATTCTGTACATTCAGTAATGTAACTCGTGCCTCATAAAGAAATCTATCATTATGTCT